ATACATATATATAATTGAGTGCTAAGTAAATTTTCTTTTATATTTTAATGTCAAACATTTAATATTTAATATTATTTACATCACATTAATATTTTATATTTTTTTCTAAAATATCATTAACATTTACTTTTTTAAATGACATATTTTTTTATTTATTTTTTTTTAATATTATTTATATAGTGTAATGATATAATATTCTAGTTCAAATGATAAATACATAATTACATAAAAACTAAGTGACATGAATGTTAAATTTTTTTTATATCCGAAGTTCATTTCAAAAGTTGTCTCTATTTAGTTAATGTAATGCACTTTGGCACATCTACTATGCTCATTAGCCTTCTACGATTAAGCCATTAATTTGATCGTGTCTACTAACATAATGGCACGCCCATTTTGAGCCTTCTTATAATCATATCAACCCACACGGTGCACAAGAGAGATCAAGGCTGGTTTAACCCAACGATGGGTTGATCCTCAGCTACTTCAAAATCTAATCCATACAAACCATCTAACGACAAATCTAGCACTCATAGGTTAGCCTACTTATCAACTGAGTCTTCTTTAATAGTTTAAGTTTTACCTTTGGGCAAGCCAATTTGACACGAATTGCACCAGGGACAAGAGGACCTGCTTACATGTTTTTATACCTTGGGTGATTCACTCATGATTCTTTCAACCAACTCTAGGTCAATGAGGCTATGTGTTTATATTGAGTAAATGCTGGATCCAATAGATTTGGAGTAGTCAAAATCATGAAACATAAAGTCTATTAGGATACATCCTAGTTAACCCCAACCAACCATAGTACACCCACTTCAATCTGGATCATAGTCAATGTGTTTATAATAATAAAAGTCAAACCAAATGAACCTAAATAGAACTTTAGTTCAAATACCCAAATTTAATCAAACCCAAAGCAATTAGTTATATCATTTAAGTCATGTGTATTTACGACTGAATTTATAAATCCATTGTATATAGTTAAACTATGATTGAGACTCTACTATGATAGTGAATATCACCTTAGTTTGGATTATAAGGTTGATCTTCTTGTTGTGTCATACGTCCATTGCCTCATAAGTTGTTACATAATTTTTTGTCATGGTAATAGAAGTCATAACCTTATAATAAAAAAATAACTCAAATAAAATAAACATTTAATTTCAAAAATATAAATCCCAAATATAGGATAACATAAGTGTTGTTGAGCTTTTTAGTATCTGAGCTCTACCTACATTTTCTCTGTAGGCGTTCAAAAATAACTATTTCAATTCAATCTTTCTGAATGCAATTCGAGGAAAATAATCCTGAAAAAATAAACATTAAAATTAATAGAGATATGTGACATTGTTTAAATCTATATTATGCTTAGCAGACAATATATTGTAAGATGTAATTAACTATAAGAGTTTGCTCTTAGAGAGAACTTGTTACAATGTTAAAATAAATCATATTTATCTCACAAATATTTAAGGGAAAAATATTTGGTTTATACAAAAAGTATTAATTTTATGGACCTTATTAAGTGATTGAATACATTTTAGACTGTTATTTCAATATCTTGAAAAATTATATTATTATTTATGTCGTACTCGTCACCCAAATAAAAATCTTGAAAATGTGTTCTGCTAGATATTAATTCCATCAACTACATACAATTTATGTGTGGAGTTACATTTTATCTTTATGTTGTGAGACATAATAATTTGATATTTTCTTTATTTGCATTTTATGTATAAACATCATTTACAGCATTTGTAATGTAGCTTTAGCGATATACCATACATGTTATAAGTCCTTTGTCATAGCCACTTTTAGGTACATTCTTGATTTTGAGTTCATTATATCTGATTTATCCTCACTATATATGTATAGAAGATGTCTCATACTAACATTCTTAGCTCTTTCTCCTGACATCTGGATCCAATAGGAACATTTTGCGGTTTTTGTCAATACTAGATTGTTTGTTATAGTTTTAAATCAACTTATTTAATTTGGGCTGCTTCAAACCCTTTTGTTTCACTCATTATCTCACACATACACTAAGGTTGTTTGCAAGTTTCACTTGGTTCAATTTGTTATAAGCTTCAAACATTATCTTGTTGATTAATTTAGTTAGACCTATCTTTATGTATTGGAACTATATCCCATGGAATCGTAATTTTTTTATGACCTAAGCATGTCATTCATTGGTTCATTGACCCCATTAATGTACGCACTCTCTATTTAGTCAACCTAAGACACTAACACATCTATTAGGTCGAGTTGAATAGTCTTCCCCTTGTTTTCTAATCATGTTCTCTCCTAATAATTTGGTGCACACATTTAGAAAAAATATACAACCATATTAGCCCTCTTCTTGCATTGGAAAGATTAAAGCAAGTTTAGCTCAATTATAAGTTAATCATCAGCCACGTTAGAATCAAGCCCATACAAACCACGTTGTGGTGAAAACTAATATTTTTGAGTTTGATTAAAAATACTACATATTGGTTTTAGACTCTATAAACTTATTTTGACCTAATTCCTAACCTAATTGGTCATATCTTGACCTAATTCCTAACCTAATTGGTCATATCAGGTCAACATGTAGCCCCAGACCAACCTGGTGGCAATATGACCATTTTTGTTGGTTCTATATTATATATATATATATATATATATATAT